TTGTGGTCTTGGTGGGGGTCTATGAATGTGTTGTTGTTGTGGTCTTGGTGGGGTCTATGAATGTTGTTGTTGTTGTTGTGGTGTTGGTGGGGTCTATGAATGTTGTTGTTGTTGTGGTCTTGGTGGGGTCTATGAATGTTGTTGTTGTTGTTGTTGTGGTCTTGGTGGGGGTCTATTAATGTTGTTGTTGTTGTTGTGGTGTTGGTGGGGTCTATGAATGTTGTTGTTGTTGTGGTCTTGGTGGGGGTCTATGAATGTTGTTGTTGTTGTGGTCTTGGTGGGGTCTATGATGTTGTTGTTGTTGTGGTCTTGGTGGGGGTCTATGAATGTTGTTGTTGTTGTTGTGGTGTTGGTGGGGTCTATGAATGTTGTTGTTGTTGTTGTGGTCTTGGTGGGGTCTATGAATGTTGTTGTTGTTGTGGTCTTGGTGGGGTCTATGAATGTTGTTGTTGTGGTGTTGGTGGTGTCTATGAATGTTGTTGTTGTTGTGGTCTTGGTGGTGTCTATGAATGTTGTTGTTGTGGTCTTAGTGGGGTCTATGAATGTTGTTGTTGTTGTGGTCTTGGTGGGGTCTATGGCTGTTGTTGTTGTTGTTGTGGTGTTGGTGGGGTCTATGAATGTTGTTGTTGTTGTGGTCTTGGTGGGGTCTATGAATGTTGTTGTTGTGGTGTTGGTGGTGTCTATGAATGTTGTTGTTGTTGTGGTCTTGGTGGTGTCTATGAATGTTGTTGTTGTGGTCTTGGTGGGGGTCTATGAATGTTGTTGTTGTTGTGGTCTTGGTGGGGTCTATGAATGTTGTTGTTGTTGTGGTCTGGTGGGGGTCTATGAATGTTGTTGTTGTTGTGGTCTTGGTGGGGTCTATGAATGTTGTTGTTGTGGTCTTGGTGGGGTCTATGAATGTTGTTGTTGTTGTGGTCTTGGTGGGGTCTATGAATGTTGTTGTTGTGGTCTTAGTGGGGTCTATGAATGTTGTTGTTGTTGTGGTCTTGGTGGGGTCTATGGCTGTTGTTGTTGTTGTTGTGGTGTTGGTGGGGTCTATGAATGTTGTTGTTGTGGTCTTGGTGGGGTCTATGAATGTTGTTGTTGTGGTGTTGGTGGTGTCTATGAATGTTGTTGTTGTTGTGGTCTTGGTGGTGTCTATGAATGTTGTTGTTGTGGTCTTGGTGGGGGTCTATGAATGTTGTTGTTGTTGTGGTCTTGGTGGGGTCTATGGCTGTTGTTGTTGTTGTGGTCTTGGTGGGGGTCTATGAATGTTGTTGTTGTGGTCTTGGTGGTGTCTATGAATGTTGTTGTGGTGTTGGTGGGGGTCTATGAATGTTGTTGTTGTGGTCTTGGTGGGGTCTATGAATGTTGTTGTTGTTGTGGTCTTGGTGGGGTCTATGAATGTTGTTGTTGTGGTGGTCTTGGTGGGGTCTATGAATGTTGTTGTTGTTGTGGTCTTGGTGGGGTCTATGAATGTTGTTGTGGTGGTCTTGGTGGGGTCTATGAATGTTGTTGTTGTTGTGGTCTTGGTGGGGTCTATGAATGTTGTTGTTGTTGTGGTCTTGGTGGGTCTATGAATGTTGTTGTTGTGGTCTTAGTGGGGTCTATGAATGTTGTTGTTGTTGTGGTCTTGGTGGGGTCTATGGCTGTTGTTGTTGTTGTTGTGGTGTTGGTGGGGTCTATGAATGTTGTTGTTGTTGTGGTCTTGGTGGGGTCTATGAATGTTGTTGTTGTGGTCTTGGTGGGGTCTATGGATGTTGTTGTTGTGGTGGTCTTGGTGGGGTCTATGAATGTTGTTGTTGTTGTGGTCTTGGTGGGGTCTATGAATGTTGTTGTTGTTGTGGTCTTGGTGGGGTCTATGAATGTTGTTGTTGTGGTGGTCTTGGTGGGGTCTATGAATGTTGTTGTGGTGGTCTTGGTGGGGTCTATGAATGTTGTTGTTGTTGTGGTCTTGGTGGGGTCTATGAATGTTGTTGTTGTGGTCTTGGTGGGGTCTATGAATGTTGTTGTTGTTGTTGTGGTGTTGGTGGGGTCTATGAATGTTGTTGTTGTTGTGGTCTTGGTGGGGTCTATGAATGTTGTTGTTGTTGTGGTCTTGGTGGGGTCTATGACTGTTGTTGTTGTTGTGGTCTTGGTGGGGTCTATGAATGTTGTTGTTGTTGTGGTCTTGGTGGGGTCTATGAATGTTGTTGTTGTTGTGGTCTTGGTGGTGTCTATGAATGTTGTTGTTGTGGTCTTGGTGGGGTCTATGAATGTTGTTGTTGTTGTGGTCTTGGTGGTGTCTATGAATGTTGTTGTTGTGGTCTTGGTGGGGTCTATGAATGTTGTTGTTGTTGTGGTCTTGGTGGGGTCTATGAATGTTGTTGTTGTTGTGGTCTTGGTGGGGTCTATGAATGTTGTTGTTGTTGTGGTCTTGGTGGGGTCTATGAATGTTGTTGTTGTTGTTGATGGTGCGATTTGAAGTTCCACGCGGGATGTTGACGACCTCGCCTGGTGCGCAGGAGGTCGCGGGCTCCATCACGACCCTGACGCTGCCTGCTGCTGCTCATGCTGCTGCTACTGCTGCTGCTACTACTGCTACTACTGCCGCTACTGCTGCTACTGCTGCTGCTACTGCTGCTACTACTGCCGCTACTGCTGCTACTACTGCTACTACTGCTACTACTGCTACTACTGCTGCTGCTACTGCTGCTACTACTACTGCCGCTGCTACTGCCGCTACTGCTGCTGCTACTGCTGCTGCTACTACTGCTGCTGCTACTACTACTGCTGCTGCTGCTACTACTGCTGCTGCTACTACTACTGCTGCTGCTACTACTACTGCTGCTACTGCTCCTGCTGCTACTGCTACTACTGCTGCTGCTACTGCTGCTACTACTGCTACTACTGCTGCTACTGCTGCTGCTACTACTGCTACTACTGCTACTACTGCTGCTGCTACTGCTGCTGCTGCTACTACTGCTACTACTGCTGCTACTGCTGCTGCTACTGCTGCTGCTGCTACTACTACTGCTACTACTACTGCTACTACTACTGCTACTACTGCTGCTGCTACTGCCGCTGCTACTGCCGCTACTGCTGCTGCTACTGCTGCTACTACTGCTGCTGTCCTCGAACGACCTCGTGGCGTTTGTGGACTCAGCCGCACCCCGAGCCAGGGACGTGACAGCTGCCACCACCCCCATCACCCCCCCCACCCCCACCACCTACACCACCCCACCTCCACCATCACCTACACAAACATCAACACCCCCACCACCTACACCCCCCCCCCCACCTCCACCATCACCTACACAAACATCAACACCCCCACCACCTACACCACCCCCACCACCTACACCACCAACTCCACACCCGCCACCTCCACCATCACCTACACAAACACCAACACCCCCACCTCCACCACCACCCCCACCACCTCCACCACCACCCCCCCCACCTCCACCAACACCTCCACCACCACCAACACCTCCACCACCACCAACACCTCCACCACCACCACCACCACCACCTCCACCACTACTACCACCAGCCCCCACCTCAACCACCACCACCCCCATCACCAACACCTACACCCCCCCCCCACCTACACCCCCCCCACCTCCACCAACACTACCACCACCACCTACACCACCAACACCTACACTTACTCCACCACCACCACCTACACCACCACCTACACCCCCACCTCCACCAACACTACCACCACCACCACCTACACCACCAACCACCTCCATCACCACCTCCAACACTACTACCACAACCCCACCACCACCACTCCCACCACCACCACCACCATCACCTACACCACCACCTTTACCCCCACCATCACCACCACCCCCACCATCCGCACCTCCCCCCCCCCCACCATCACCACTACCACCACCTCCCCCCACCCCCACCACCACCTCCACCACCCCCACCTCCACCACCACCCCTACCATCATCCCCCCCCACCACCACCACCACCACCTCCACCACTCGACCTCACGTCACCCCCTCCCTCCCAACACCCAACACCATCACCACCACCCCCACCACCCCCCCCCACCACCACCACCTCCACTACCACCACCCCCCCCCACCCCCACCATCACCACCACCTCCACTACCACCACCACCTCCCCCCACCACCACCTCCACCCCCCCCCCCCACCACCACCACCTCCACTACCACCACCCCCCCCCACCCCCACCATCACCACCACCTCCACTACCACCACCACCTCCCCCCACCACCACCTCCCCCCCCCCCCACCATCACCACCCCCACCACCTCCCCCCACCCCCACCACCACCCCCACCTCCACCACCCCTACCATCATCCCCCCCCACCACCACCACCACCACCACCTCCACCACTCGACCTCACGTCACCCCCTCCCTCCCAACACCCAACACCATCACCACCACCCCCACCACCCCCCCCCCACCACCACCACCTCCACTACCACCACCTCCCCCCACCCCCACCACCACCTCCACCCCCCCCCCCCACCACCACCACCACCTCCACTACCACCACCTCCCCCCACCCCCACCATCACCACCACCCCTCCCCCCCCACCACCACCACCACCACCACCACCACCTCCCCCCACCCCCACCATCACCACCACCCCTCCCCCCCCACCATCACCACCACCTCCACTACCACCACCACCTCCCCCCACCACCACCTCCACTACCACCACCACCTCCCCCCACCACCACCTCCCCCCCCCCCCACCATCACCACCCCCCCCCCCCACCACCACCTCCACTACCACCACCACCTCCCCCCACCACCACCTCCACCCCCCCCCCACCATCACCACCCCCACCACCACCACCTCCACCACTCGACCTCACGTCACCCCAACACCCAACATCAGCAGCAGCAACAGCAGCGTGTGTCACGCCAGCTGGTGGAACTCTCACGTCCAAGGCCTCGTCCTCGTTGTTGTTGTCGTTGTTGTTGTCGTTGTTGTTGTTGCTATGGGTGCGGTGAAGATGACCAACGTTGCCTGGACGTCCGTCGCCTTTATAAGCAGCGAGGAGAGCAGAGAGGGCTGTGCAGAGAGCGTCTCAGGGCGAGAGAACGTGAGAGGACACACGGGGTGGAGTGCTGGTGCTGGTAGAGGTGGTGGTAGTTAGTGCTGGTGGTGGTGGTAGAGGTGGTGGTGGTAGTGGTGGTAATAGTGGTGGTAATAGTGGTGGTAGAGGTGGTGGTAGTGGTGGTGGTAGTTAGTGGTAGTGGTAGTGCTGGTGGTGGTAGTGGTGGTGGTAGTGCTGGTGGTAGTGCTAGTGGTAGTGGTAGTGGTGGTGGTAGTGGTGGTGGTGGTAGTGGTGGTGGTAGTGGTGGTGGTAGTGGTGGTAGAGGTGGTGGTAGTGGTGGTAGTGGTGGTAGTGGTGGTAGTGGTGGTGGTAGTGGTGGTGGTGGTAGTGGTGGTGATGGTAGAGGTGGTAGTAGTTGGTAGTACTGGTGGTGGTAGTGGTGGTGGTAGTGGTGGTGGTAGTGGTGGTGGTAGTGGTGGTAGAGGTGGTTGTAGTGGTGGTAGTGGTGGTAGTGGTGGTGGTGGTGGTAGTGGTGGTGATGGTAGAGGTGGTAGTAGTTGGTAGTACTGGTGGTGGTAGTGGTGGTGGTAGTAGTAGTATTAGTGGTATTTGGTAGTAGTTGTGGTAGTGGTGGTGGTGGTAGTGGTGGTGGTAGTGGAGTAGGTGAGTGAGTGAGTTGGTGAGTGGGTGAGTGAGTGGGTGGGTGGGTGTGTGGGTGAGTGGGTGAGTGGGTGAGTGAGTGGGTGAGTGAGTGAGTTGGTGAGTGGGTGAATGGGTGAGTGAGTGGGTGAGTGGTTGGGTGAGTGGGTGAGTGAGTGGGTGGATGGGTGGGTGGGTGAGTGAGTGGGTGAGTGAGTGAGTGAGTGGGTGAGTGAGTGGGTGAGTGGGTGAATGAGTGGGTGAATGGGTGAGTGAGTGGGTGAGTGGGTGGGTGGGTGAGTGAGTGAGTGAGTGGGTGGGTGAGTGAGTGGGTGAGTGAGTGGGTGAATTGGTGAGTGAGTGGGTGAGTGTATGAGTTGGTGAGTGGGTAAGTGTATGAGTTGGTAAGTGGGTGAGTGTGTGGGTGAGTGTATGAGTTGGTGAGTGGGTTAGTGAGTGAGTGAGTGTATGGGTTGGTGAGTGGTAGTGTTGGTGAGTGGGTGATTGAGTGGGTGAGTTGGTGAGTTGGTGAATGAATTGATGAGTGGGTGAGTGGGTGGGTGAGTGGGTGAGTGAGTGGGTGGGTGAGTGGGTGAGTTGGTGAGTGGGAGAGTGGGTGAGTGAGTGGGTGAGTGGGTGAGTGAGTGGGTGAGTGAGTGGGTGAGTTGGTGAGTGAGTGCGTGGGTGAGTCTATGAGTTGGTGAGTGGGTAAGTGTATGAGTTGGTAAGTGGGTGAGTGTGTGGGTGAGTGTATGAGTTGGTGAGTGGGTTAGTGAGTGGGTGAGTGTATGGGTTGGTGAGTGGTTGTGTTGGTGAGTGGGTGATTGAGTGGGTGAGTGGGTGAGTTGGTGAGTGTATGAGTTGGTGAGTGGGTTAGTGAGTGGGTGAGTGTATGGGTTGGTGAGTGGTTGTGTTGGTGAGTGGGTGATTGAGTGGGTGAGTTGGTGAATGAATTGGTGAGTGGGTGGGTGAGTGGGTGAGTGAGTGGGTGAGTGGGTGAGTTGGTGAGTGGGTGAGTGGGTGAGTTGGTGAGTGGGTGAGTGAGTGGGTGAGTGAGTGGGTGAGTGGGTGGGTGAGTGGGTGAGTGGGTGTGTGAGTGAGTGGGTGAGTTGGTGAGTGGGTGAGTTGGTGAGTGGGTGAGTTGGTGATTGGGTTAGTGAGTTGGTGGGTGAGTGGGTGAGTGAGTGGGTGGGTGAGTGAGTGAGTGGGTGAGTGAGTGGGTGGGTGGGTGAGTGAGTTGGTGAGTGAGTTGGTGAGTGGGTGAGTGAGTGGGTGAGTGAGTGGGTGAGTGAGTGGGTGAGTGAGTGAGTTGCTGAGTGAGTTGGTGAGTGAGTGGGTGAGTTGGTGAATGAGTGGGTGAGTGAGTTGGTGAGTGGGTGAGTGAGTGTGTCTGCTGCTACTCGCATCTACTAACAAGCCACTTGTCCCCACAGCCTGTTGCAGGCTACACGGGGCACCTTTGTCTTTGGTCCAGGTGAATCATGTTGTCAGCGGTGCTTCTGCTGTTGCTGGCGAGCTCAGGTGAGTGAGAGGCTTCCACACACGGCGCAGATGCCTGTGCCAGGCTAGGTGCACCAGCAGGTCACGTGGACAGACCCAGCAGGTGCTATGGGTTGGCTGCTGTGCCAGGCTAGGTGCACGAGGAGGAGGTCACGTGGACAGACCCAGCAGGTGCCATGGTTTGTATTGCTGTGCCAGGCTAGGTGCACGAGCAGGTCACGTGGATAGACCCAGCAGGTGCCATGGTTTGACTGCTGTGCCAGGCTAGGTGCAGGAGGAGGTCACGTGGACAGACCCTGCAGGTGCCACGGGTTGACTGCTGTGCCAGGCTAGGTGCAGGAGGAGGAGGTCACGGAACAGACCCTGCAGGTGCCATGGGTTGACTGCTGTGCCAGGCTAGGTGCAGGAGGTCATGGGACAGACCCAGCAGGTGCCGTGGGTTGACTGCTGTGCCAGGCTAGGTGCAGGAGGAGGAGGTCACGGGACAGACCCTGCAGGTGCCATGGGTTGACTGCTGTGCCAGGCTAGGTGCAGGAGGTCATGGGACAGACCCAGCAGGTGCCATGGGTTGGCTGTTGTGCCAGGCTAGGTGCAGGAGGAGGAGGTCACGGGACAGACCCAGCAGGTGCCATGGGTTGACTGCTGTGCCAGGCTAGGTGCACGAGGAGGAGGTCACGGGACAGACCCTGCAGGTGCCGTGGGTTGACTGCTGTGCCAGGCTAGGTGCAGGAGGAGGTCACGTGGACAGACCCTGCAGGTGCCATGGGTCGACTGCTGTACCAGGCTAGGTGCACGAGGAGGAGGTCACGGGACAGACCCTGCAGGTGCCGTGGGTTGACTGCTGTGCCAGGCTAGGTGCAGGAGGAGGTCACGGGACAGATCCAGCAGGTGCCATGGGTTGACTGCTGTGCCAGGCTAGGTGCAGGAGGAGGAGGTCACGGGACAGACCCTGCAGGTGCCGTGGGTTGACTGCTGTGCCAGGCTAGGTGCAGGAGGAGGTCACGTGGACAGACCCTGCAGGTGCCATGGGTTGACTGCTGTGCCAGGCTAGGTGCAGGAGGAGGTCACGGGACAGACCCTGCAGGTGCCATGGGTTGACTGCTGTGCCAGGCTAGGTGCAGGAGGAGGTCACGGGACAGACCCTGCAGGTGCCATGGGTTGACTGCTGTGCCAGGCTAGGTGCAGGAGGAGGTCACGGGACAGACCCTGCAGGTGCCATGGGTTGACTGCTGTGCCAGGCTAGGTGCAGGAGGAGGTCACGGGACAGGCCCTGCAGGTGCCATGGGTTGACTGCTGTGCCAGGCTAGGTGCATGCCACTGTCTGAGTGTGAGAGCCACGTGGTGACTCGGTCGTGGTGGTCGCGTCGATGGTGACTGTGACGATGATGATGACGATGCTGCATGGCCGTAGGTGTGAGGGCGTCTGGTTGCTATGGCAACGTGATGAACATCGACACCACGGGGGCCTCAGCGGCCACGGCGAGCCAGGACAACCTGAGCGTGACCGGTGAGACACACACACAGACACACACACACACACACAGACACACACACACACACAGACACACACACACACAGACACAGACACACACAGACACACACACACACAGACACACAGACACACACACACACAGACACAGACACACACAGACACACACACACAGACACACACACACACACACAGACACAGACACACACAGACACACCACACAGACACACACACAGACACACACACACACAGACACACACACACACACAGACACACACACACACACAGACACACACAGACACACACACAGACACACACACACAGACACACACACACAGACACACACACACACAGACACACACACACACAGACACACACACAGACACACACACACAGACACACACAGACACACACACACACACACAGACACACACACACAGACACACACACAGACACACACACAGACACACACACACAGACACACACACAGACACACACACAGACAACACAGACACACACAGACACACCCACACAGACACACACACACAGACACACACACACAGACACACACGACACACACACAGACACACACAGACACACACAGACACACACAGCACACACACAGACACACACACACAGACACACACACACACCACACAGACACACACACACAGACACACACAGACACACACACAGACACACACACAGACACACACACAGATACACACACACACACAGACACACACACAGACCACACACAGACACACACACCACAGACACACACACACAGACACACACACAGACACACACACACACACAGACACACACACAGACACACACACACACAGACACACACACACAGACACACACACAGACACACACACACACAGACACACACACACAGACACACACACACAGACACACACACACAGACACACACACAGACACACACACACAGACACACACACACAGACACACACACAGACACACACACAGACACACACACACAGACACACACACACAGACACACACACAGACACACACAGACACACACACAGACACACACAGACACACACAGACACAGACACACACACAGACACACACACAGACACACACACACACACAGACACACACACAGACACACACAGACACACACACAGACACACACACACAGACACACACACAAAGACACACACATAGACACACACATAGACACACACATAGACACACACACACAGACACACACAGACACACACAGACGCAGACTCAAAATATACAGCAGCAGCAGGCGTCGTCAGGGTCGAATGGAACCCACGACCTCCTGTGTACCAGGCGAGGTAGTCAACATCTCCCAGCCACCGTGATGATGATGATGAGAAAGAGACGCATACTCCAAATATACAGCAGCAGGCATCGTCAGGGTCGAGATAGAACCCACGACCACCTGTGTACCAGGCGAGGTAGTCAACATCTCCTAGTCACCGTGATGATGATGATGATGAGAGAGACGCAGACTCCAAATATACAGCAGCAGGCATCGTCAGAGGGTCCGGGATCAAGCCCACGACCACCTGCATATCAGGCGAGGTAGTCAACATCTCCCATTAGCCAAACGCAGCGCCACCACTCAGTCGAGCAAATTGGGGAGCCCGACTCAAAGTCAACAACTTGACCCTCAGCGCTCGCTCGCTAAGAAACTGCCCAGCCCACCACCACCAACCCCTGACCCTCCTCCAGAGGTCGCAACCGGGTACCCGATACCCGTACCCTACCCGATACCCGGATACCCGTACCCGGCCGGGTACGCATACCCGTTTGCGACCCTGGTGCGGCCGGGTACGGGTAGGCCGTGAGTCACTGGTGAGTCACCGTTTGTCACTCATTTCCCAACGTCTTGTCTCTTCTTTACAATTCAAGTTCCTAGAATCAACCCACCCGCGCCTGCAACATGGCTTCATCCCAGAGGTCGCAATCGGGTACCCGATACCCGTAACCTACCCGTACCCGGCCGGGTAGGGTACGGGTACGGCCGGGCACTGTCCTTGAAGTTGATTGGTCCAGATGACGCCAAAAGGCGCGCGTTTTGGCAGTCCAACACCATGTGAGACTAGGCTCTAAGGAAAGCTGTCTCGGGTGTGGACCAATCAACTTCAAGGACAGTGCATATCATTATCAGAGTTGTGTTTTTTGTTTGCATTACGACTGCAGGTATTGTGGTCTATGTAAAAATGACTCCTTGTAAAAAAAGGTGTCAGTTTTGTTGCCAGATAGAAGGGTAACAAAAACAATTATCATATTTTTACTGGCAAATGAGGTTCCAATGGTGGTAAGTAACCGTTTGTCACTCATTTCGGGTAGGGTACGGGTAGGAAACGGGTACCCGTACCCGGCCGACCGGGTACGGGTACCCCGTGAGTCACAGGTGAGTATCCGTTTGTCACTCATTTCGGGTAGGGTACGGGTACGGGTAGGGAACGGGTACCCATTTGCGACCCTGGTGCGGCCGGGTACAGGTAAAGAATAAAAACCCATTTGCGACCTCTGCCCTCCTGCCCTCCCCCACCACCACCACCGCCCCCAGGGGTGGCAGCATCCCAGAGGCTCGTGAACACCGACCTGAACCGCCTCAAGAACTACAAGAGCCGCATCGTGGACGCGGGCAACGCCAAGTGCGTCGACGCGGCCGTCATCGCCGCCATCATATCGCGCGAGTCGCGGGCTGGCAGCGTCCTCGTCAACGGATGGGGCGACGGCGGAAACGGATTCGGGCTCATGCAGGCGAGCTGCGGATGCAGGAGGGAGCTGTGTGTGACGAGGAGAGAGTTGTGGATGAAGGAGAGAGCTGTGGATGAAGGAGGAGGGAGAGAGCTGTGTGTGACGAGGAGAGAGTTGTGTGTGAAGGAGGGAGCTGTGTGTGAAGGAGGAGGGAGAGAGCTGTGTGTGAAGGAGGGAGCTGTGTGTGAAGGAGAGAGCTGTGTGTGAAGGAGGAGGGAGAGAGCTGTGTGTGAAGGAGGGAGCTGTGTGTGAAGGAGAGAGCTGTGTGTGAAGGAGGAGGGAGAGAGCTGTGTGTGAAGGAGGGAGCTGTGTGTGAAGGAGAGAGCTGTGTGTGAAGGAGGAGGGAGAGAGCTGTGTGTGAAGGAGGGAGCTGTGTGTGAAGGAGAGAGCTGTGTGTGAAGGAGGAGGAAGAGAGCTGTGTGTGAAGGAGGGAGCTGTGTGTGAAGGAGAGAGCTGTGTGTGAAGGAGGAGGGAGAGAGCTGTGTGTGAAGGAGGGAGCTGTGTGTGAAGGAGAGAGCTGTGTGTGAAGGAGGAGGGAGAGAGCTGTGTGTGAAGGAGGGAGCTGTGGATGAAGGAGGAGGGAGAGAGCTGTGTGTGACGAGGAGAGAGTTGTGGATGAAGGAGAGAGCTGTGGATGAACGAGGGAGCTGTGGATGAAGGAGGGAGCTGTGGATGAAGGAGGGAGCTGTGGATGATGGAGAGAGCTGTGGATGAACGAGGGAGCTGTGGATGAAGGAGGGAGCTGTGGATGAAGGAGAGAGCTGTGGATGAACGAGGGAGCTGTGGATGAAGGAGGGAGCTGTGGATGAAGGAGGGAGCTGTGGATGATGGAGAGAGCTGTGGATGAAGGAGAGAGCTGTGGATGAAGGAGGGAGCTGCGGATGAACGAGGGAGCTGTGGATGAAGGAGGGAGCTGTGGATGAAGGAGAGAGCTGTGGATGAAGGAGAGAGCTGTGGATGAAGGAGAGAGCTGTGGATGATGGAGAGAGCTGTGGATGAAGGAGGGAGCTGTGGATGAAGGAGAGAGCTGTGGATGATGGAGAGAGCTGTGGATGAACGAGGGAGCTGTGGATGAAGGAGAGAGCTGTGGATGATGGAGAGAGCTGTGGATGATGGAGAGAGCTGTGGATGATGGAGGGAGCTGTGGATGATGGAGGGAGCTGTGGATGATGGAGAGAGCTGTGGATGATGGAGGGAGCTGTGGATGAACGAGAGAGCTGTGGATGAAGGAGAGAGCTGTGGATGACGGAGAGAGCTGTGGATGACGGAGAGAGCTGTGTGACGAGGAGAGAGCTGTGGATGACGGAGAGAGCTGCCGATGAAGGAGGGAGCCCTGTGGTTCAAATATTCAGACAAATATCTGAACTGGTCATGGGCCTCCCCTAGGTTCACTCGGCCTCAACTACGTACCTGGAGATAAAGGCGGCCGGGCGTGGTGCTGGCCACCCACCCCCTCTGTGTTAACCTCAGTGCCGGTAGCCTTCATAGCTGCTGCTGCTGCTGCTACTCACTAACAGCACTTGCCCCAACAGTCTGTTACAGGCTCCGTGGGGGATTATTGTCGTCTCTGTTTGTGCGCGGGTCTAGGTGGACAAGCGCTACCACACCCCGGTAGGCGCATGGGACAGCGTGGAGCACATAAAGCAGGGGACGGGCATCCTCATCGACATGATCAACTCCATCAAGAAGAAGTTCCCCAGCTGGACCCAAGACCAGCAGATGAAAGGTACCTGAATAGCAGCAGCAGCAGCAGCAGCAACAAGACAAAGATCTCCCGTATAGCCTTAACAGACTGTAGGGGCAAGTGCCGTTCGTGAGCACCTATGAAGGCCGGCACGACACACGAGGGGGTGGGTGGCCAGCACCACGCCCGGCCGCCTTTGTCTCCCCCGTGGCGATGTTCACTACTACACACCGCTACTACACCAGCTACTCATTCGAGGCCGATTTGACCTAGGGGAGGCCCAGAACTGGTCCATCGGTGTTGGTGGCCGTGAGCGGGAATGGAAGTCGGGTTGCCGGGTTCACAGCACAGCGTAGCGCTAACCTCCACTCCACTACGACTGCTCCCCACCAGCAAAGGCCGCCCACCTCCCTCGTGTGAGCTCCGCTGGACCTTCCTAGCAGAGGTCGCAACCGGGTACCCGATACCCGTACCCTACCCGATATCCGGCTACCCGTACCCGGCCGGGTACGGGTACGGGTAGCCTTTTGCGACCCTGGTGCGGCCGGGTACGGGTACGAGTAGGCCGTGAGTCACTGGTGAGTCACCGTTTGTCACTCATTTCACAACGTCTTGTCTCTTCTCACAATTCAAGTTCCTAGAATCAACCCACCCGCGCCTGCAACATGGCTTCATCCCAGAGGTCGCAATCAGGTACCCGATACCCGTACCCTACCCGGCCGGGTATGGGTAGGGTACGGGTACGGCCGGGTACGGGTACGGGTAGGCCGTGAGTCATTGGTGAGTCACCGTTTGTCACTCATTTCGGGTAGGGTACGGGTAGGATACGGCTACCTGTACCCGGCCGGGTACGGGTAGCCGTTTGCAACCCTGGTGCGGCCGGGTACGGGTACGGGCAAGGAATCAAAACCCGTTTGCGACCTCTGCTTCCTAGGCGCTCAGCTCGTGAACGCCGCTCGCCCCAACACTCCGCCAAGGCTTGAATGGCGGGCGGGCGGGTGGGCAGTGATTGTTGTCTAAGCGTGGCCTACGTTGTGTCCGAACGCAGGGGGCATCTCGGCCTACAACGCGGGGCCCGGCAACGTTCAGTCGTACCCCAACATGGACATCGGCACGACGGGCAACGACTACGCCAACGACGTGGTCGCCAGGGCCCAGTGGCTCCGCGCCAACGGACACTTCTAGAAAGAAGAAGACCGCCCCCCCCCCCCCCCCGTCCTGCCCCCCCATCCCGTGATCGCTCCGAAGAACCGCGCACGCACGCAGATAGAGCGACGTTTCCCCCAGCAATCACACCCGCCACCACCTCGCTCCCGTTGCTACCTTACACAAGTTGCTTAACCCGCCATTCTCGTCGTGGACACGTGACCCACCCAACGCAGCCTCCAGCACCAGGCCCGAGTCCCAACCTCCATTTTGCTTAGCCCATCCTGCCAACAAAGACAAAGATACCCCCCCCCCCGTGTAGCCTTAACAGGCTGTAGGGGCAAGTGCTGTTAGCGAGCTGCACCTATGAAGGCTGGAACGGTACACGAGGGGGTGGGTGGCCAGCACCACGCCCGGCCGCCTTTGTCTCCCCAGTGGCGATGTTGACACGCACCGGGTACTCATTTGAGGCTGAGTCGACCTAGGGGAGGCCCATGACCGGTTCAGATAATCGTCACTGGTGTTTGCCGTGAGCGGGAATCGAACCGGGGTCGCCGGGTTCGTAGTGCAGCGTAGCGCTAACCGCTACACCACCGCTCCCCAACCCTTGCACGCACAGACACACACACACAACAACAACAACCGCCATTCACCACTAAGTGCTGGTGACGTCACCACGACGCTTGTGCCAGGCCATGTGCACCTTGAGGCTACCACGTGAAGTGTCGAACGCCCGCTGGCAGGAGGTCACGGGGCAGACCCAGCAGGTGCCACGGGTCGACTGACTGAGACACACAGACACACACACACACAGACACACACACACAGACACACACACAGACACACACATAGCACACAACCACACAGACACACACACACACACACAGACACACACACAGACACACACATAGACACACACATAGACACACACACAGACACACACGTGTTCCCCACCCATAACATCCACCCCTAAGCCACTTCAGCTGGAATAGGATGCAGCGTTGGCCCGATGGACGGGAATCAGTGGATCCATCTCCTGCCTCTTTGCGTGGAACCCTCGCTTCCCTCCCCCCGTCCGTGACGCCTACGTAGTTGTAACAACCTCGGCTGCCTTCGGTATCGTTGCTATCGAATAATAAATCAATCAGGAGGGAGCTCCTCTCCCCACACCAGCACCACCACTCGTCGTGTCTGCTCAAGCGACTTTGTGACTGCGTGTGGGAAGGGTTTGTGGTGTCGATGATAAAAAAAATTTTCTGATTTTTTTGACCGCTTTGCTTTCTTGCGCTAAACCGCGCCCGTCGAGACGCACGCCAACAACTGAGCTACTTATACAATTGCACCTTCAGTTATCAAAGTGATGACGATGAGAGACACAAACTCCAAATATACAGCAGCAGCAGGCATTGTCAGGATCGAGATGGAACCCACGACCTCCTGTGTACCAGGCGAGGTAGTCAACATCTCCCAGCCACCGTCGTGATGAGGATGATGAGAGACGCAGACTCCACATATACAGCAGCAGCAGGCGTCGTCAGGGTCGAGATGGAACCCACGACCTCCTGTACACCAGGCGAGGTAGTCAACATCTCATAGCCACCGTGATGATGATGATGAGAGACACACACTCCAAATATACAGCAGCAGCAGGCGTCCGGATCGAGATGGAACCCACGACCTCCTGTGTACCATGCGAGGTAGTCAACATCTCATAGCCACCATGATGATGATGAGAGAGAGACGCAAACTCCAAATATACAGCAGCAGGCATCGTCAGGATCAAGATGGAACCCACGACCTCCTGTGTACCAGGCGAGGTAGTCAACATCTCCTAGCCACCGTGATGATGATGAGAGACACAAACTCCAAATATACAGCAGCAGCAGGCGTCGTCAGGATCGAGATGGAACCCACGACCTCCTGTACACCAGGCGAGGGGAGATGGGTGGTGGGGGTGGTGGTGGGGTGGTGGTAGGGGGTGGAGTGGGATGGTGGTGGGGGTGGTGGTGTGGTGGTGGGTGGGGTGGAGTGGTGGGGGTGCTGGTGGGGGTGGTGGTGGGGTGGTGGTGGGGTGGGGGTGGTGGTGGGGTGGAGAAGTGGGGTGGTGGTAGGGGTGGTGGTGGGGTGGTAGGGGGTGGTGGTGGGGTGGGGGTGCTGGTGGGGGTGGTGGTGGGGTGGTGGTGGGGTGGGGGTGGTGGGTGGGGTGGAGTGGTGGGGGTGCTGGTGGGGGTGGTGGTGGGGTGGTGGTGGGGTGGTAGGGGGTGGTGGGGGTGCTGGTGGGGGTGGTGGTGGTGGGGTGGAGTGGGATGGTGATGGGGGGTGGACATTTGTGATTGTGTCTGTTCGAAATGTTTAGCCTACTTCCCAACATGCAACAAACTTGAAGTTTGGCACGTGGGCAGCTCCCAGACTGTACACCAGGGGTCGGGAACCTTTTTGACGGGAGAGCCATAAAAGCCAAATATTTCTAAATATATTTCATTGAGAGCCATATAGTATTTTTAACGTATAATAAATTAAATATGTCTTACTTTTAATGCGACTTCTGGTCACGGGACCCGTGACCCGAGAAATTTTATCTTCAAAACTAATTTCTGTTTACTTTAAAATGACACAGTATTATTAAGCGATATCACAAGTATTTTAAAATCAGTTCCAAACTGATTTTATTATTATTTTATGATTATTATTTTTTTCATCTCAAAATTGTCTGGGAGCCATATGCCGTCACCGGAAGAGCCATATATGGCTCGCGAGCCATAGGTTCCCGACCGCTGCTGTACACCATGCAACAAGTATACAAATAGACTTTTGTATTTTGGGGGGCGGCGGGGGTGGGGACGCAATAATGGATATATTTTGCACGGCAAGTGAGCGGTGACGTCACATCTGTGATGTCACCCGCACGCGGCCGCGTCACGCGGTGCGCCTGCTGACGTCACGCAGTGTGCCTGCTGACGTCACGCAGTGTTCCTGATGACGTCACGCAGTGTGCCTGATGACGTCACGCAGTGTGCCTGATGACGTCACGCATCCCACCCTCCGTGTAGGCCGTGAGTTAATCAAAGACAAGATTCCAAGTCTCAAGCGAAGCCGGTAGTAAAACTCGTTTTAATCATTTAAAAAAACAAATTCACGTACACAGGCAGTGCTCGACTTACCAACGCCCGCACTTACGAGTGAGTCGGTGAGTGAGCGAGCGAGGAGGGTGAGTGGGTGGGTGAGTGGGTGAATTAGTGAACGGGTGAGTGAGTGGGTGAGAGGGTGGGTGAGTGGGTGGGTGAGTGGGTGGGTGGGTGAGTGGGTGGGTGAGTGGGTGAATGAGTGGGTGAGTGGTTGGGTGAGTGGGTGGGTGGGTGAGTGGGTGGGTGGGTGAGTGGGTGGGTGAGTGGGTGGGTGAGTGGGTGGGTGAGTGGGTGGGTGGGTGAGTGGGTGGGTGAGTGGGTGAATGAGTGGGTGAGTGGGTGGGTGAGTGGGTGGGTGAGTGGGTGGGTGGGTGAGTGGGTGGGTGAGTGGGTGAATGAGTGGGTGAGTGGGTGGGTGAGTGGGTGGGTGAATGGGTCAGTGGGTGGGTGGGTGAATGGGTCAGTGGGTGGGTGGGTGAGTGGGTGGGTGAGTGAGTGGGTGAGTGAGTGACCAGGTCTCCCACCGTCCCCTTCTTCGTGTGGGTGTCACCGCCTCGTCTTTCTCCGTCAGACATCGCGAACCGCTCTTGGACTGCATGGACAACAACATCAACAACAACATCAACAACATCCACAACCATAACATCAACAACAACATCAACAACATCCACAACCAGAACATCAACAACAACATCAACAACATCCACAACCATAACAACAACAACAACAACATCAACAACAACATCAACAACATCCACAACCAGAACAACAACATCAGTAGCGGTGAGTAGTGGTGAGTAGCGGTGAGTAGTGGTGAGTAGCGGTGAGTAGTGGTGAGTAGCGGTGAGTAGCGGTGAGTAGCGGTGAGTCTCGCTCACCACAGCGGAGCCACAGACACCTCGTCGACGCGTGAGCGGTGGATCTGAAGTGAGTAGTGGTGAGTAGTGGTGAGTAGTGGTGAGTAGCGGTGAGTAGTGGTGAGTAGTGGTGAGTGAGTAGCGGTGAGTGAGTAGTGGTGAGTAGCGGTGAGTAGTGGTGAGTAGTGGTGAGTAGTGGTGAGTGAGTAGTGAGTGAGTGAGTAGCGGTGAGTAGTGGTGAGTAGTAGTGGTGAGTAGCGGTGAGTAGCGGTGACCCTCACCACAACGTTGCCAGTGGCACCTCGTCGACGCGAGAGCGGTGGATCTGGAACGAGGGCGTCACCCACTGTCCACAGGAGCAGCGCTCCCCTCTCCAGCTGAAGGAACCCACCTTGCACACACACTTGGGGCACTGCAGCTGCAGTGGTGGTGGTGGTGGCGGTGGCAGTGGCGGTGGTGGTGGGTGGTGGTGGTGGTAGTGGGGGTGGTGGTGGTGGTGGCGGTGGTGGTGGTGGAGGTGGTGGCGGTGGTGGGTGGAGGAGCGGATAAATAAATAATTATTGATCGATGTATTATTGATGCATCGATAACGACGCACACACACACACACGCACGCACACACACGCACGCACACACACGTACACACACACACGTGTACACGCACATATGTACACACACACGCACACATGTACACACACACTTGGGGCACTGCAGCTGAGGTGGTGGTGGTGGTGGCGGTGGTGGTGGTGGTGACGGTGATGGTGGTGGTGGTGGCGGTGGGTGGTGGTGGTGGTAGTGGGGGTGGTGGTGGTGGAGCTGGTGGCGGAGGTGGGTGGAGGAGCGGATAAATAATTATTGGTCGATGTATTATTGATGCATCGATAACGACGCACACACACACACATGCACACACACGCACACACACGCACACACACGCACACACACGCACACACACATGTACACACACACTTGGGGCACTGCAGCTGAGGTGGTGGTGGTGATGGTGGTGGTGGCGGTGGTGGCGGTGGAGCTGGTGGCGGTGGTAGTCGGGGAGGTGGGTGGAGGAGCGGATAAATAATTATTGATCGATGTATTATTGATGCATCGATAACGACGCACGCACACACACGTGTACACATGTGCACGCACATGTACACGCGCACACACACACACACGCGCAGACACACCCACACATGTACACACACACACGTACCCACACACGCACACACACACACGTACACACGTACACACACTCGAGTGGCTGTAATCCCCACACAACAGCCATCTACCGGCGCTTCCAAGACACCCACGAGGGCCGCCTCCATCCAGCGGATCGGCTCCACGAAGAGCGACGTGCAGGCCCCGGGCACGCGGCCGCTGGGACCGGTGAGGCCGCTAGGAGCGGTGAGGCCGCTGGGAGCGGTGAGGCCGCTGGGAGCGGTGAGGCCGCTGGGACCGGTGAGGCCGCTGGGACCGGTGGGGCCGGTGGGGAAGGTGGAGGAGGAGGTGGAGGAGAAGGAGGATGAGTCGCCTGGCTCGTGAGCCAGAACGCTGGAGCCACGGAATAGGCAGCGCCTGGGGAGTGGAGGGGGTGGGGAGGGGATTTGTGAGTTTTTGTGTGTGTGTCTGTGTGTATGTGTGTGTGTCTGTACGTGTGTGTGTGTCTGTACGTGTGTGTGTGTGTGTATGTGTGTGTGTCTGTACGTGTGTGTGTGTCTGTACGTGTGTGTGTGTCTGTGTGTGTGTGTGTGTCTGTACGTGTGTGTGTGTCTGTACGTGTGTGTGTCTGTGTGTGTGTGTATGTGTGTGTGTCTGTACGTGTGTGTGTGTCTGTACGTGTGTGTGTGTGTCTGTGTGTGTGTGTATGTGTGTGTGTCTGTACGTGTGTGTGTGTCTGTACGTGTGTGTGTGTCTGTGTGTGTGTGTATGTGTGTATGTGTGTGTGTCTGTACGTGTGTGTGTGTCTGTACGTGTGTGTGTGTCTGTGTGTGTGTGTATGTGTGTGTGTCTGTACGTGTGTGTGTGTCTGTACGTGTGTGTGTGTCTGTGTGTGTGTGTATGTGTGTGTGTCTGTACGTGTGTGTGTGTCTGTACGTGTGTGTGTGTCTGTGTGTGTGTGTATGTGTGTGTGTCTGTACGTGTGTGTGTGTCTGTACGTGTGTGTGTGTGTATGTGTGTGTGTCTGTACGTGTGTGTGTGTCTGTACGTGTGTGTGTGTCTGTGTGTGTGTGTATGTGTGTGTCTGTCTGTACGTGGGCGAGTGTGTAACTTACATGGGTGTGTGTTTACTCTCTACAAGCAGCACTTGCCCCTACAGCCTGCTAGAGGCTACACGGGGGACCTTTGTCTGTGTCTACCTTCATAGGTGTTGCTGCTACTCGCTAACAGCACTTGCCCCAAAGCCCTGCTAGAGGCTACACGGGGGACCTTTGTCTGTGTGGCAGAGGTCGCAACCGGGTACCCGATACTCGTACCCGGCGGGTACCTGTTTGCGACCCTGGTGCGGCCGGGTACGGGTAGCCGGGTAGACCGTGAGTCACTGGTGAGTCACCGTTTGTCACTCATTTCCCAACGTCTTGTCTCTTCTCACAATTCAAGTTCCTAGAATCAACCCACCCGCGCCTGCAACATGGCTTCATCCCAGAGGTCGCAATCGGGTACCCGATACCCGTACCCTACCCGTACCCGTCTGGGTACGGGTAGGGTACGGGTGCGGCCGGGTACGGGTACGGGTAAGGAATCAAAACCCGTTTGCGACCTCTGTCTGTGTCTACCTTCATAGGCGCTGCTGCTGCTGCTACTCGCCGCTAACAGCACTTGCCCCTACGCCCTGCTAGAGGCTACACGGGGGACCTCTGTCTGTGTGGCGAACACCGCCGCTGGTGACGGGGAGACGGAGGCGGCTCACCGGCACCGACGGCACCGGTAGAGCACAGCGGCAGCAGCAGCAGCGGCGCCGTCCGTGCCGGTGCCGGCAGCAGCAGCAGCAGCAGCGCCGGCGAGTTGAGGGTCATCGACGAAGACCGCCGGGGGAAGGACCAGGCCTGGGATGCAGACACACCGATCGCTCGGTCAGTCAGTCGCTCAGTCAGTCACTCAGTCACTCACTCAGTCGCTCAGTCACTCAGTCAGTCAGTCAGTCAGTCACTCAGTCAGTCACTCACTCAGCCATTCACTCAGTCAGTCGCTCGCTCAGTCAGTCGCTCGCTCAGTCAGTCGCTCAGTCAGTCACTCAGTCACTCACTCAGTTGCTCAGTCACTCAGTCAGTCAGTCAGTCAGTCACTCAGTCAGTCACTCACTCAGCCACTCACTCAGTCAGTCACTCACTCAGTCACTCGCTCAGTCACTCACTCACGCTCGCTCACTCACTCAGTCACTCACTCACGTTCACTCTGCATGAGTGTCTTTTTGCGTGGTAAGTCTCTGTGTGAGTGAGTCTCTGTGTGAGTGAATCTCTAAGTGAGTGAGTCTCTGTGTCTCTGTGTCTCCATGTGAGTGAGTCTCTGTGTGTCTCTGTGTCTCTATGTGTCTCTGTGTGGTGAGTCTCTGAGTGAGTCTCTGAGTGAGTCTCTGTGTCTCTGTGTGTCTCTGTGTGAGTGAGTCTCTGTGTGAGTGAGTCTATGAGTGTCTCTGTGTGAGTGTGTCTCTGTGAGTCTCTGTGTCTCTAAGTGAGTGAGTCTCTGTGTCTCTGTGTCTCCATGTGAGTGAGTCTCTGTGTGTCTCTGTGTCTCTATGTGTCTCTGTGTGGTGAGTCTCTGAGTGAGTCTCTGAGTGAGTCTCTGTGTCTCTGTGTGTCTCTGTGTGAGTGAGTCTATGAGTGTCTCTGTGTGAGTGTGTCTCTGTGAGTCTCTGTGTCTCTATGTGAGTGAGTCTCTGTGTCTCTGTGTCTCTGTGTGTCTCTGAGTCTCTCTCACCGGTGGCGCCGCGAGTCACCCGCTGGAGTTCGTAGCGGCGCCGTGCGGCGCTGTCGCCCTGCAGGCAGCAGCCCGCGTCCCCGTAGAGCCGCAGCTGCCGCTGGAAACCCGCGTTGACGCTGCACACGGCGGAGAGGGAGACCACAGGGTGACTACAGCCGGAGCCTGGAGTGGAGTGGAGTGGACACTGGACTGGAGTGGATTGGAGTGGGCACTGGAGTGGAGTGGGTACTGGACTGGAGTGGATTGGAGTGGGCACTGGAGTGGAGTGGGTACTGGACTGGAGTGGACACTGGAGTGGAGTGGGTACTGGACTGGAGTGGATTGGAGTGGGCACTGGAGTGGAGTGGGTACTGGACTGGAGTGGATTGGAGTGGGCACTGGAGTGGACACTGGAGTGGAGTGGACACTGGAGTGGAGTGGACACTGGAGTGGACACTGGAGTGGACACTGGAGTGGAGTGGACACTGGAGTGGAGTGGACACTGGAGTGGACACTGGAGTGGACACTGGAGTGGAGTGGACACCGGAGTGGAGTGGAGTGGACACTGGAGTGGACTAGGCACTGGGCACTGGAGTGGAGTGGACACTGGACTGGAGTGGAGTGGACACTGGAGTGGACTAGGCACTGGCACTGGACTGGAGTGGACACTGGAGTGGAGTGGACACTGGAGTTGACACTGGAGTGGACTAGGCACTGGCACTGGAGTGGAGTGGACACTGGACTGGAGTGGACACTGGACTGGACTAGGCACTGGGCACTGGAGTGGACACTGGAGTGGACTAGGCACTGGACACTGGAGTGGAGTGGATACTGGACTGGAGTGGACTAGTCACTGGGCACTGGAGTGGAGTGGATACTGGACTGGACTAGGCACTGGGCACTGGAGTGGAGTGGACACTGGACTGGACTAGGCACTGGGCACTGGAGTGGAGTGGACACTGGAGTGGACTAGGCACTGGACTGGAGTGGCCGTGCGGTGTGGCTGTCACCTGACGCTGGGCTTGAGGCTGCGTAGGCGAGTGTAGGCCTCGTCGAAGGACAGACGGAGATCCGCCATGAGGAAGGCCGTCACCACGGCGGCACTCCGGCTCACTCCGGCGTGGCTGCAGGACATCACCAACGTCACCAACATCACCAACATCATCGTCATCAACATCATCAACATCTTCAACATCACCAACATCGTCAACATCATCAACATCATCGTCATCAACATCATTAACATCACCATCATCAACATCGTCATCATCAACATCATCAACATCGTCATCATCATCACCAACATCAACATCACCAACAACATCATCGTCATCACCATCATCAACATCATCAATATCAGCATCATCATCATCAACATAATCACCAACATCACCACCATCATCAACATCACCAACATCAACATCATCAACATCATCAACATCACCAAAATCAACATCATCGTCATCAACATCATCAACATCAACATCATCATTGTCACCATCGTCATCACCAACATCACCAACATCAACATCATCAATGGGTTGACTGCTGTGCCAGGCTAGGTGCAGGAGGAGGAGGTCACGGGACAGACCCAGCAGGTGCCATGGGTTGGCTGACTGAGATGAGTGGTTGATGCACCACCACCTGTGACCGCCCCTCCCCCCAACTGTGCCAGGCTAGGTGCAACTTGAGGCTACTTGGGGCAGTGCCAGGCTGGGTTCACCTTGAGGCTACTGGGCAGTGCCAGGCTAGGTGCAGGAGGTCACGGGACAGACCGTGCAGGTGCCATGTGTTGGCTGACTGAGATGAGCACCACCATCTCTTACCGCCCCCCCCCCCCCCCACTGTGCCAGGCTAGGTTCACGTCGAGCCCGCCGGCGCTCACCAGTGCACGAGCACGGCCCCGGCGTGCATGCCGGCGCGGACGAAGTCGAGGCAGGGGTCGAGCGCGGGCAGCAGGTCCCAGCTGGCGCTGTCTTCAGTCGCACAGAACCTCACCAGCGGACGCTGGCACCGTGAGGCACTCGGGTTGATGTCACCGCCACCATCACCACCACCTCCATCTTCACCGCCACCACCACCGCCAACACCTCCACCGCCACCACCACCACCAACACCACCTCCAACGCCACCACCGCCACCACCACCTCCATCTTCACCGCCTTCACCACCACCACCTCCACCAAGGGCACTTCCTACACCACCTCCACCGCCACCACCACCTGCACCACCTCCACCACCTCCACCACCTCCACCACCTCCACCAAGGGCACTTCCTACACCACCTTCACCACCACCTCCACCATCTTCACCGCCAACACCACCTCCACCGCCACCACCTCCACCACCACCTCCACCCAGCGCACTTCCTACACCACCATCTCCACCACCACCTCCACCACCACCTCCACCAAGCGCACTTCCTACACCGCCTTCACTACCTCCACCACCTCCACCACCACCTCCACCAAGCGCACTTCCTACACCACCATCTCCACCACCACCTCCACCACCACCTCCACCAAGCGCACTTCCTACACCGCCTTCACTACCTCCACCACCTCCACCACCACCTCCACCACCTCCACTGCCTCCACCGTGTTCATCTTCACCACCACCACCACCTTCACCACCATCGCCACCATCCTGCAACACACAGACAAAGATCCCCCGTGTAGCCTCCAGCAGAACGTCGGGGCAAGTGCCGTTAGCGAGCGCCTACGAACGCCACCGGCACTGAGGCACACGAGGGGGTGGGTGGGTGGGTGGGGGGCCGGCACCCCCCCCCCCCCGGCCGCCTTTGTCTCTCCCCCGTACCCACGGCAGGGGCTGTGAGTCGACCGTGAGCACGTGGGTGACTCCGCTGCGCCAGAGGCTCGCTGCGTCCAACGCGCTGGCGCGGTCACCCAGGTAGAGGCCCGGTAGCACCGCCAACATCGCTAGCCTGGACACACACAGCACACACACACAGTGTACACACACACACAGTGTACACACACACAGTGTACACACACACACAGTGTACACACACACAGTGTACACACACACACAGTGTACACACACACAGTGTAACACACACACACAGTGTACACACACACACAGTGTACACACACACAGTGTACACACACACACAGTGTACACACACACACAGTGTACACACACACACAGTGTACACACACACACAGTGTACACACACACACAGTGTACACACACACACAGTGTACACACACAGTGTACACACACAGTGTACACACATACACAGTGTACATACATACACAGTGTACATACATACACAGTGTACATACATACACAGTGTACATACATACACAGTGTACATACATACACAGTGTACATACATACACAGTGTACATACATACACAGTGTACATACATACACAGTGTACATACATACACAGTGTACATACATACACAGTGTACATACATACACAGTGTACATACATACACAGTGTACATACATACACAGTGTACATACATACACAGTGTACATACATACACAGTGTACATACATACACAGTGTACACACATACACAGTGTACACACATACACAGTGTACACACATACACAGTGTACATACATACACAGTGTACATACATACACAGTGTACATACACAGTGTACATACATACACAGTGTACATACATACACAGTGTACACACACACAGTGTACACACACACACAGTGTACACACATACACATACACAGTGTACACACATACACAGTGTACACACACAGTGTACACACACACACAGTGTACACACACACACAGTGTACACACACACACATACACAGTGTACACACATACACATACACAGTGTACACACATACACAGTGTACACACACAGTGTACACACACACACAGTGTACACACACACACAGTGTACACACACAGTGTACACACACAGTGTACACACATACACAGTGTACACACATACACAGTGTACACACACACACAGTGTACACACATACACATACACAGTGTACACACATACACATACACAGTGTACACACATACACAGTGTACACACACAGTGTACACATACACAGTGTACACACACACACAGTGTACACACACACACATACACAGTGTACACACATACACATACACAGTGTACACACATACACAGTGTACACACACAGTGTACACACACACAGTGTACACACACACACAGTGTACACACACACACAGTGTACACACACAGTGTACACACACAGTGTACACACATACACAGTGTACACACATACACAGTGTACACACACACACAGTGTACACACACACACAGTGTACACACACACACAGTGTACACACACACACAGTGTACACACACACACAGTGTACACACACAGTGTACACACACAGTGTACACACATACACAGTATACACACATACACAGTGTACACACACACACAGTGTACACACACACACAGTGTACACACACACACAGTGTACACACACACACAGTGTACACACACACACAGTGTACATACATACACAGTGTACATACATACACAGTGTACATACATACACAGTGTACATACATACACAGTGTACACACATACACAGTGTACACACACACAGTGTACACACACACACAGTGTACACACACACAGTGTACACACACACAGTGTACACACACACAGTGTACACACACACACAGTGTACACACACACACAGTGTACACACACACACAGTGTACACACACACACAGTGTACACACACACACAGTGTACACACACACACAGTGTACACACACACACAGTGTACACACACACACAGTGTACACACACAGTGTACACACACAGTGTACACACATACACAGTGTACATACATACACAGTGTACATACATACACAGTGTACATACATACACAGTGTACATACATACACAGTGTACACACATACACAGTGTACACACATACACAGTGTACATACATACACAGTGTACATACATACACAGTGTACACACATACACAGTGTACATACATACACAGTGTACATACATACACAGTGTACATACATACACAGTGTACATACATACACAGTGTACATACATACACAGTGTACATACATACACAGTGTACATACATACACAGTGTACACATACAGTACACAGTGTACATACATACACAGTGTACATACATACACAGTGTACACACATACACAGTGTACATACATACACAGTGTACATACATACACAGTGTACATACATACACAGTGTACATACATACACAGTGTACATACATACACAGTGTACATACATACACAGTGTACACACATACACAGTGTACACACATACACAGTGTACACACATACACAGTGTACATACATACACAGTGTACATACATACACAGTGTACATACATACACAGTGTACATACACAGTGTACATACATACACAGTGTACATACATACACATACACAGTGTACACACACACACAGTGTACACACATACACATACACAGTGTACACACATACACATACACAGTGTACACACATACACAGTGTACACACACAGTGTACACACACACACAGTGTACACACACACACAGTGTACACACACACACATACACAGTGTACACACATACACATACACAGTGTACACACATACACAGTGTACACACACAGTGTACACACACACACAGTGTACACACACACACAGTGTACACACACAGTGTACACACACAGTGTACACACATACACAGTGTACACACATACACAGTGTACACACACACACAGTGTACACACATACACATACACAGTGTACACACATACACATACACAGTGTACACACATACACAGTGTACACACACAGTGTACACACATACACAGTGTACACACACACACAGTGTACACACACACACATACACAGTGTACACACATACACATACACAGTGTACACACATACACAGTGTACACACACAGTGTACACACACACACAGTGTACACACACACACAGTGTACACACACACACAGTGTACACACACAGTGTACACACACAGTGTACACACATACACAGTGTACACACATACACAGTGTACACACACACACAGTGTACACACACACACAGTGTACACACACACACAGTGTACACACACACACAGTGTACACACAGTGTACACACACAGTGTACACACATACACAGTGTACACACATACACAGTGTACACACACAGTGTACACACACACACAGTGTACACACACACACAGTGTACACACACAGTGTACACACACACAGTGTACACACACACACAGTGTACACACACAGTGTACACACACACAGTGTACACACACACACAGTGTACACACACACACAGTGTACACACACACAGTGTACACACACAGTGTACACACATACACAGTGTACATACATACACATACACAGTGTACATACATACACAGTGTACACACAGCACACATACACAGTGTACACACAGTGTACACACAGCACACACACACACAGTGTACACACACATATACGTACATACACAGTGTATACACACACATACATACACACACACAAGGCGCTGGCGCGGTCACCCAGGTAGAGACGCGGTAGCACCGCCAATATTGCTAGCCTGGTGACACACACATACACAGCACATACAGCACATTACACAGTGTACACACACACACAGCACACAGTGTATACACACACAGTGTACACACATAGTGTACACACACAGTGTACACACATACATACACACAGCACACACATACATACACAGTGTACACACAAACACACACAGAGTGTACACACGTACACACACATATACACAGTGTACATACACACATACACACAGTGTGCATACACATAGTGTACACACACAGCACACAGACACATACACAGTGTACACACACACACAGTGTACACACACACATACAGCACACATACACAGTGTACATACACACAGTGTACACACACACATACACACACACACACAGCACACACACACATACACAGTGTACACACACACATACACAGTGTACACACACAGACACATACACAGTGTACACACACACACAGTGTACACACACACATACAGCACACATACACAGTGTACATACACACACACAGTGTACACACACACATACACAGTGTACACACACACATACACACACACACAGCACACACACACATACACAGTGTACACACACACGGTGTACACACACACAGTACACACACAGTACACACACACACACGGTGCACACACACACACAGTACACACACAGTACACACACAGTACACACACACACACGGTGCACACACACACACAGTACACACACAGTACACACACAATACACACACACACACGGTGCACACACACACACAGTACACACACACACTACACACACAGTACACACACGGTGCACACACACACACAGTACACACACACACACTACACACACACACAGTACACACACACACACACGGTGCACACACACACGGTGCACACACACACAGTACACACACACAGTACACACACACACACGGTGCACACACACACACAGTACACACACACAGTACACACACACAGTACACACACACACAGTACACACACACACACGGTGCACACACACACACAGTACACACACACAGTACACACACACACACGGTGCACACACACAGTACACACACACACACGGTGTACACACACACACAGTGTACACACACAGTACACACACAGTACACACACACAGTGTACACACACAGTACACACACAGTGTACACACACAGTACACACAGTACACACACAGTACACACACACAGTACACACACACGGTGTAAACACACAGTACACACACAGTGTACACACACAGTACACACACGTACCACACACACAGTGTACACACACAGTACACACAGTACACACACACAGTGTACACACACAGTACACACACAGTACACACACACACGGTGTACACACAGTACACACACACTGTACACACAC